TTGTGCGGGCGGTCTGACAAGCTAGGTAAGCATACACATAAAACACATATGGTCCACGACATCTGTTTCTAGAGGAAACTGCCTTGATGTGGAACAGGATTGTTTTGCAGCTTTTCGTTAGTTACTTAACTTACAAAGCATGATAAAAAAGACACTTTGCGTTACTCATTGGACTAATAAGTAAAGAACACAGCTTCCGAGGTACCCCCGAACTGACCACCTTCTTTTCCGTCGTCATATCTCACCAGTTGTGTTGCTTGCTACTTTTAAAACATAAGTAACGGTGTATTATTTATTTTGTTTCAGGAGAATATAGAACAGGCTGAGGCGGGCCTGGAAACAGCCAAGAAGGAGGTAGAGACCAAAACTGTGGAGTTGGAAGCTGCGAAGGCCGCTCTTCAGGATGCTAAGAAGGCGGTTAAAGCACGACAGAAAGAGGCCGACGAGGCGGCCAAGGCCATGCAGGCAGCTGAAGCCGAAGCCGGTCGCATAAAGGAGAAGATCTCCCATGCCAACTGTGCCATCGATCGATTCACCCATGAGCTTGAGGTTCAGACAAAAGAGAGCAAGGAGGCTGGAAGGCGGGTGGGTTTTTTTGCGTTATTATAGCCCCTAACCAGCCATGACCACCCCCTCCCTAATCAATCAAAAATGGAGGTTTATGAAAATATCTCCCACCTCACTCCCGCATCCTTTCTATTCTTCATTTAGCTGGCGCAACTTATGGAAGCCAACCCCTGGATTGCTGAGGAGAAGGAGTCCTTTGGTGTGGCCGATGGACCCTTCGATTTCGCGAAACGCGATCCAGCGGAGACGCGGAAACGCGTAGCCCAACTGACGGAACGGCGGGATAAACTGAGTCGCACTGTCAACATGCGGGCGATGAACATGCTGGGCACTGCAGAGGACCAGTACGCCGAGTTACTACGGCGTCAGGAGATTGTCCTGGCCGACAAGCGCAAGATTCAGGAAGTCATTGATGACCTGGACTCGCGCAAAGAGCAGGTCCTCAAGGCTGCCTACGAGAAAGTCAACACGGTAGGCCTACGGTTGATGTGCTATCTCGTGAAATGTTAAATACAATTCTAATATGGAATTTTCGATTCGAAAACATTAATTATGCGGGGTTAGCATCTTAATTATCCGGCGGTATAACTCCAAGGTACTTTTGTGAGATCACGACGCTAGCTTTTACATGAGCTTTCCGAAGGCCTGGAAAAACTGCTCGCGGTAAAAAAGGAAGTAATTAAGTAGTATAGCTTTTCCAACATATTAATTATGTCCTTAGGAATTCAATTATACTGGTTCTACCGTCGATTTCGACGATGTCTCTCGTATGCTCAACAAAAAAGTGGTGCAGGAACGGCGACTATGCGCTGGATTAAAATGAGAATATACTTTCGATGCACCTACTTCACCCTCTTCCGTCACCACCTGAGCTCGGTATCAAGACAGTCAAGAAAACCTGAGGAGGGATTGGGCGCGAGATTAGCCACCCGTCCAATGCGCGCGACAACAATACCTGGCTAGGATCCCACTTTCGTGTGAATGCTTTAATAGCGACATTGAGAAGGAGCCATTGCAGTCCGTCTTTTAGTCCGCCAGTCAGCCACTCCACACACAGCAAGACACACACTGGACTGACCGCGCGGTCCGAGTTACTCCGTCAGTTGGCAGCCCGCTAAGCCACGCCTTTAGCGGAGTGTGATAGCTTCAAGCACGTCAGATTGTTTATAGTGTGGAAGCAACTGCGCCGAGCCGTCGACCTCA